TTGTTTCGTTCTCAATTCTTATACACAGATTAAACCTACCTACAATTACCCTTATTACATGCAAGTTCTTCTGTAATTAACTTGAACTCTTACAATACCTCAAAATCTCTCAGCTAAAAAAAAAATTAAAGATGAAAGAGTCTTCCTGACCTCCAGGAAAACTTAGTTTCTTCTACAAACAATGTATCTTGTGAACTGCACTGTCACCACGAAGTGTATGAGCCACAAATGCTAAGGTATTAAAAAACAAGCAACACAAACAAAAGCCTGCACGTTACATCTGACTAGACGGGTCTTAACCACACACACACACTAGGGCTACCTAAAACAGTCACTTAAACCTTATAGCAGGAACTCACGATTCCAGACAATACTACACATTTGGGATTCATTCTCCTGTTCTATTCAGTTAGCAATATCCAAGACAGAAAACTCAAACGGCAGAACAGAGGTCCGCTCTCCTGAGATGTTAATGGCTTTTAATCTTGACTGCCAGTAACACAAAGCAACACAGGACAAGGACAGTCCGCTTCTCTCGTTAACTCTCCGGCGCATTCTCACAGCCCCCTCAGTACGGCGAGTGCCGACTCCTCTGAGCACACCATGCAGTTTCCACCATTTCTACCTCTGAACTTGAAAACTGTAGTTCTAAAGCCCCACTCTAACGGCCACCGACACGCTTCCCAACCACTCCCTCTCCACGTCGGAACTTCCCGGCGCCTGTCCAATTATTCACTTCCTTTACCCAGCAGAGTTCATTGTTTTAGCTTGGTGTTTCTATAGTCCCGAAATGGTTCCCATCGTACCACCAGGAACAGCGTTTTTTTTCAAGCTGCCAGTTTCTACCACGGTTTGTTAAATCTAAGTAGTGGGTCTTCCCTGTCATTTCTTCTTGAAAATGAAATGGAATATAATTGAATAGAAACAATCAGACTACATCACATAAAGTAAGAATATTATTTTGTGTCATTTTATCATTTAAATATAAGAGTTACTAGGTCACAGCATAAAAATGTATGGCTGCCAATGGGTCATATATTATATTTTTAAATTTGTCTGGCTTTTTTTTTTTTTTTTGGTTTTTCAAGACAGGGTTTCTCTGTGTATCTTTGTGCCTTTCCTGGAACTCGCTTTATAGACCAGGCTGGTCTCAAACTCACAGAGATCCGCCTGCCTCTGCCTCCCTAGT